CAAAACACACACAAATCATATTCATCCATTTTGCAAGTAATGCAACAGTGGCTGCTAAGGCCTCTGCAGGCAAAACTGTGAACAGAACCCAGCTTTTTAATACATCAGAGGCATAACTCATCTACTTTATCACGTTGCCTTTTGATGAAGATACCAAAAATGTGCGTTTGCCCATGCTCTACAGCCCCTTCTTTTCTTATTTAGGAATTATAACCTACGAATCCTCAAATTTAGCTGTTCATGTGTGCCTTATAAATAACTATACAGACCAATGGCAAAGTGTGTGTCATGCCGTCTTCCAAATGCTCATCTACAAAGTAGTTAACTATCTGTTATGCTTTTAACTCATGAGGAAAAAGCCTGAAGATGATTGGTTCCAAACCTGCTGACAACCTACGAGGAAAAAAGATCCCCCATCGGGGGGGAGCAACCTGCAAAAACCATAATGGAGAACAGATAATAAAAAGACACAAGAAAGAAGGAAACAAACAATACTGATTATTCCTACCTTGCTACAGCTGAATTGCAGTTGTTTAAAATTCTTCTGAAGTAAATTATCCATTTATCATGGATAAATTCATGACAAACTCTCCCAATTTGACATTTATTTCTACTTCTATCTTAAGGAAGTAATATTTCCTTATTTGCAGAGGAAAGCCCCTCTAGAACAAATCTGCATTTTTAAAAATAAAGTTTACAGTGGTCTACAAAAGGTTTGGAAATACATAAATCAATTCCTTAAATGCTTCATATAACATTTCACACATGGAGCAACACAAAACAGTTCAACTAAAGAAGCGTCATACATGGTCTTGGACGCAACCTCTCTGACTCATGATCTGGCAAACTTTTACTTGCACCAATACTGTTTAAATCAAAATAGGTTTCCATAACAGAAGAGGTGAGAGATTATTTTTAAACTTGAGTGCCAAACAATTATTTTGAACAAAACTAATCAATAACTTTTATTCAGATTTAGGTGATAAGTTTCAGGGGAAAAAAATAATTTAGTTTGCCAAGAATATTTAACTAGCTTTTTGTTGTTTGAACTGCAAGCAAAGTGCGTGCTGGAGAAGATTAAAACTTCCCAGATTTTCTTCAAATTGGAAATACCTGGTTTTTCCTACAGTGGATGACTTCTGAAAGAAACCTCATGCTGGACAGCTCCCAGTACCCCAGTTCAAAAATCAGATCCCTTCTCACACTAGAAAATGAGAAGCAAATTTTTACACTAACTGTGAAGTCCAGATTTCTGTTGATTTGGCTTATCTTCTCCTGGATTATACAAGACTACAGTATCTCTTTCTGTGTTTCAACTTCTACAACTCAAAGCATTTGCTTCCTGTCAGTTCTTCTCAGAATTTGTCAGAGCATGCACAGCACTGGTATTCTTAACATAGTTCTTCATCAATCTTTATTTTTTTAATCAAATGTTGTTTCAGTCACATATCAGAAAGCACTTACAGATCAAAAGACACTGAAATACTTTGAGGACTTTCCCTGTTGTCCAGTTAGGAAGCTCCTCATCTTAGCAGTTTCTCCAGCCTCTGTAAAGATGTTTCTTAACTGTGCCCTAGCTGCTTCTACTGTGAATAGCTAGAAAAACAGCAGTTTTATGTTCAGAAGCTGAACAAGTTGACAAAATAACTAACTAGGTGGTCAAAGAATAGGATGATGCTTCCACAGCTCTCACATTGCTACCGGCTGAGGTTTTCTTCCTGTCTCCCTGGATTTTTTTTGAACCTCAAATCGATTTATTCTTTTTACTCCTTCTGCTATTTAGTTCTACTAGAGGCTGGGAGTGGAAAAGAATATCAGAAATGAAGGGGTAAATATTGAACTATACAATCCTCAGTTCTAAAAATGAATTTAGACAAACGGCACCTGGCAAGTTCAACTACCTGCAATCAAAAAGTTATTTTTGTCAGATATGGAACTAATTACCAACTGATAAGGATTCTAGTTTGTTCTGCTGATAAAACAGGATATGCTAGCTATATTTAAATATGATTAGGCCTGTTACTCTTCATCTCAATACCCAGTACTATTCTCTAGGGGTTCCTCCATTATGCAAACCAACAGCAAAGCAGTAAAATATTTCAAAAAGACAGACTGGAAATTTGTAATGAAAGACTCTTCCTCTTCACCCCCTGAAACATATATTTAAAAAAGCACCTAAGGAAATAGTACTTTTTTCTGACATAATGCCATTCTTCAGCCCAGAGGAAAACTGCCCGTACCATTCATGGGAGTCACCTGAGATAAAAACATTTGGTGTTACCTAAGGAACTTGACATCTCTTGCCACGAAAATATACTTACCCTCCAGTTTACGAAAAGCTGTCAGCAGAAGAATTCAGGACACACCCTGAAAAACTGTCCATAAGATGGAGGCTCTTTATTTTATTTTTTTTTTGGTGAGTTTCTTATAATCTTCCTTGTGTAAGTTCATGTCTGCTGGACAGCAAGTGAATTCTGAGATAATACTAATATCGTACGTATAATCTGCCATTTCACATTCGTATTTTTTCCTTTTATAAAAAGGAAACGTGATTTAAGTACAAATCTGTCAAATACAAATTTCCATTAGGTTCTGTCCACTTGAGAGTACCTCTCACAAAGAAAATTTCTGATAGTTCAAGTCCTTTCCTTGTCTCTAAGTAGCAGTGATCAACTTCCGACACTTTTTAAAAGTGCTGCATTAGTACATTTTATCAGAGATTCTCTCTATCTAGAAACAAAACTGGTGCATTCCACTGGAGAAACAATTCAGCACAAAATGCCCAAAGGGTAGTGTTTTCTATACCAGCTAAACTCAGAGCTATCAGAATCAACGCAAAGAAAACTAGACAGTCTGGAAAAGTTACTACTGCTCATTGAACTGAGTTCCAAAATTACCTTTGCTTACACGCTTTATAAAATTTAGTGAAAACATACTTCACTGTTACATTACGCTCTTGATGAGGATGACTTTAATATGTATACACAACCTTTGTAACTGCGACAAGTAATACATAGCTAGCTGTCACGTCTAATATCAAAGTATCTTCATTTCAAAATCAAAACACATTGCAAGAAGAACATTTCAGCAATAGTGCTGTGAAACCACACAAATGTACTGTGGCTTCCCTCCCCGGACAGCACGCATCAGCTAGAATCTTGCTACCCAGCAGGATTCTTTATGCTGCCGCGTTCATAACGCTGAAGCCTGTTCTTTTAACATTTATTGATTTAATGAGTGATGACTTATTTTCAAAAACCGATCCATTGCTCCTACAGAATGATGAATGCTTTCATCCTTAGGCAGTTTCAAACTTTACTCTCAACAACTGAAATTTCCTCAAAGACCACACACATCAGTTACTGAAAGTAACGCTCTGAAGTGTGCACTCTATATGCCATCCAAGACAAAGACATAAGCTGATAATTCTTTCCTGGGTCTTCAGGGATCCCTTTGCACATGAAATACCAGTTTTACGGGCTACAGAACATCAGATGAAAGCTCACTCCTACCGAGGAAAATAGGAAAGTTCTCTACGTTTCACCTTGCTCTAAAGACATGAGAAAGGGAAGCAGCAAGCAGTGACATCTGACGTTTCTTCCTCAAAATGCCAATAACACATTAAAGTCAAATTAAACCAAACAGCTATTTTTACTTTCTTTTTGTCCTACGCATCACTACTCCTAATCTAAAGAGAAAAGTATTCTAGGAACAGATTGCGGGCTTCTTTCTAGACAAGAAAGGAAGCTCCTTTCTGGAAGAGAAAAAAAGTTTTCTTGATTCTATGAACAAGCCAAAGGAAAACATCTGGATGCTGAATGTAGTAACATTCAGACTGGAAATCTATGTGAGCACTTGCCTATTTTAGGCAATATGTTTGCAATTGGTTTGCTTCCTCCACATCCTACTAAATGAGGAGGAAGGGAAAAGAGGCGGAGATGGAGATTTGTGACTGGTTTCCTTAGAAGCCAAGGCAAAGAAGCAGAGAGCAGGCATAACACTGAGCAGAACTTCAGACTATAACATCAGATAACAGCGTTATATAGAGCTACTAACTATCCAGTTTCACTCCTTTATTTTTGCACTGTGGGGATATTTTGCCCCCTTAGTTTTTGCAGTTTTCAAGTTTATAGCTTCATAGGAAAAGGCTATTTTTTAAAAGAATAGTGCCATAATTTTTCACATGTAAACAAAGATTATTGGTTTTCACTGCAAATGTTTAAGTAGCAGTGAACGTGCAATAAAGTATACTCTTTTATTCCATTTGTTTACAAAGGCAACACATGATACCATTCGTTTTAACTGCTACATTTACCCATTAATTTTCACTGCTGGAATGTATAAAGGAGCCATCAGCACCTCAAAATGCCTGGATACATTGGTACAATGAAAAAGAAAAAAATCTGGAGTTGTTAAGCAAAAAAAAAAAAAAATAGTTCCTTCAAAGCAACCCAGACACGATGCATCGCTAAGCTACATTACCAAAGTTACCACCTGAGTCCACTAGCTACACCCACCTGAGCAGAACCACTGGAACTACCAAAGAGAGAATTTATATAAACACAGATGGCAGAACTAAACCCTTTGGGGTAATTTTTTTTTTCCCCCCCTTCAGTGCCTATGTTCAGTTACCTTGTGTTTCCACTCCTTGCCCAATGATCAGCTTCACATTTTCCATTCTCTCTACCAAATTTTGTAATTTCAAGGACATTGATTTCTCACCTTAAACAGATTTATCCTGCAGACTAATATTTTATAATACAGCTGTAACTACAAACCAAGCCACATGGAACTCAGTGGGTATTTTCAGTGCTTACCCTGCAATTTCTGATTTTCCAAAGGGAATGTGTAGATTCCTATTATTATTTTAAACAGATAGAACATCTGATCAATGTGTTTTATATACTGAAAAGAAAAAAGGAAGTAATTTTAAACTATATATTGCAAGCCTCACAAAAAATATTAGAAGATTTACAAAACATTGAACTGTTGGTACAAACCAGGGATACAGAGGCATTTGTAACTGGTTCCAACACTGCGACAAATGCCGTGTGCGCAAGGATTCAGAGCGCAGAAGTCAATCAGCTGAGCACACACAGGTCCCGTAAATCCAGGACTACAACTGCAGGAGAAAGCCAGTCTATCTGCATAACAGGTTCCATTGTTTTGGCACGGAGATGAAGCACAGGGGTCTATTTTGTCTTCACAAGAGGTTCCTAAAAACCCTAAAAGAAATAAATGACTTTGGTAAGTAAACACTTTGGCACATATACAAGTTTAATAATTAAAGTAAGTTAAATTAAAGCCATTGGCATATCTGTATTTGTATTTTTTATTCTACGAAAATTACAAAAATACAGATTTCCTATATACATAGCATTCTAATTTCACCAGCTAATTTTACATGGTATAATATGACGTGTTTCAGGTAGAATCACAGGATCATATGATAAAAGCAGCAAAGTGCAAAAGATTTGCTGAAACTGACACTGCTTATCCACTTTCTGAAGGGGGAGAAGGAGGGGGAGAACACCAAAACCGATCTTGTTTCATTACTGGTGACGTCTATGATAAGAAGAACAGCCTCTAAGAAGCACATGAGTTTACCTGAGTTTCACTAAGAGCAATTCACTTCTAATTAGCAGGTGAGAAACTGATTTATTGAAACGACATCACGTAAAAATGAGATAAAGGAAAACATACGCTTGCGAGGAAGATTTTTTTTTTTTAATGAAATGTAGAAAAGAATGAATACTTGAATAAGTTACAGTACACTAACAATAGTTTGTATCCTATATATCATATAGTGACGTTTGAAGTATGGCTATTGTACCCTAAAACAAAACAGAAAAGAACATTTGAATTCTACCACCCTTCCAAATAAAACAGTAAATTAGTTTTTCCATTTAAGTATAAAATCTTTTGATGAATGTTTGGTCCATTCTTACAGATCGTGGCTTTTCAGGCTCAACAGAACAAACACGCCTGGTCAATATTTCCTGGAAGATCCTATATGGTAAAACAGTTCTTAAAAGTTCAATGTGCTAATCACTAGGAATGACGAGTTAGGAGCAAATCAGGCCAGCCTCCACCCAAGAGCTGTCAAGCTAGCTAACAAATCCACTGTAATGGAAAGGATAAACCAAAGCAGTCATGCCAATCTAAAAAAACAGAACAGGCCACATTGCCACTGCCGCTGAGGAGACTGCAATCGCATTTCAGACACCCTTCAGATACTGGAGGAAAAAATAATCAAATGCATGAAAAAACTGTGCCAGGGCTCATAAAAAAAATGTTTAACCAGAAAGAGGGAAAAAAAAAAAAAAAATATCCCCTCCAAATGTGCCTGATGGTGAGAGAAAGGATCAAGATGGAGGAAGTAGCTTTGCTCTGTATAACAGCCTGCAAATGACTCAGAGCATGAAAACAAACAATGACAGATGACACTTTGGATTAAGTCCTATCCCTGGTGGAATGAAGGGGATTTTTGGCCATACTTCTACAGTTTTTTGTATCTATAAAGTCTAACTACTGGATTAAAAGCAGTTGATGAATTAGAACTGATTCCTTATATGTTATAACGGTTGTGAGGAATGCCAAAAGTAAGACAAAATATCACATTTAATACATACTTTTCAGCATCTCTTGTTATCTATTACTGCCTGAGAAAGTATTTTCTTTATTCCAAACAACAGCATTTCACCTGCAACTAAAGTATACTTTATCAAGTAATACTTTTAAAATAATTTTGACAGATATGTTACTTTAAGGGCATTTTGAGTTTCTTTCTTTTCTAATTAGTCATGATTCACATATCCAGGTGAATTAAATTGTAACCTGGTTTTACAGTAGTTCTACCACTGTAATCGTGAATAGCAGGACAGAAAGTTGGCATTTCTGAGAACAAGTGCATAAAAAGAAATAGATTAATCTACATTTTAAAATTTAACAATACAAAACAAGCATTTACCAAAAAGTTCAAATTCTACAGTTTTTCTTGACTGATCTGAATCGCTAATAACCCAGGCCAGAAGAAAGATCTAGTGACCTGAGTACAGTCTGTCAACAGGACTGAGCTCCAAGACCTGAGGAGCAAGTGAGGGCCCTCTGCTGAGATAAACAGACCAAGGATGATTCCAGCATCAAATAAAATGGAGACCAGCAACTCATTCTACATACCCTCAAGGTTCTCTCAAGGAGACACACTCCATTTTTTCTAGATCCGCAAAATCTCAGTGAACTCCATGAGCAAGAGGGAAAACGGAAACTAACCGATGCCGAGTAACCCACACAGAGCATACTATAGTGATCTGCTCAGAGAATTAACACAGATCACCGCGATTAAGGAAGAAATGGAAGGGTCGCAACTGCCCTGTGGGTTCCAGAGAAAACGAGGACACCCGTGAGCACTGTGGGCATCAGGCTTTTAGAGGCACCCCGAAAATATTGGATTTTGGGCAAATGATTGAAAAAGTCACATTTTCCTCAATTTTCATAGAACTTACTTCAAACAAATAAAAAAACCCAAAAAGAAAATCTCCAGAGCTACAGACTAAATTTTTGTTACTTGTAAGTAATTTCTAATCTTAGCAACAGTCCAGGGAAGCAAAGCAGAGCTGGCACGGCACTGTCCGAGAACATAGGCAAGAGACTCCTGCCCTCTCCATCCTCTGGCTCAGAGGGCTCCACCGGTCTCTTCAAGAAAACCTGACCCCGATGTTAAGAGGGAGAGCTTAAAAACAGCTACTGTAGATTCCTGTATTAGAAGTCCTCCTGTAAGTGATCACTGTAAAACCATCAGAAATTGGAAAGAACGGAACCACTAAAACCAAATACATAATTCCAGCAACAGCTTGCTGACAAACTGAACAAGCCCATGCTGCATTATAAAATCCCAGACAGATTTAAAAGAATCTGCAAAGACTTAGAACTGTAACCATGAGCAGATCAGCCAATGAGTCCATTGAAATCTCTACACCAACTCTGAAACCAGATTAAAAAGGATCAAGGAGATCTGAGGTCACACAATGATACCGATGCTGCTTCACTATAACCTTTTCAACAATCTTCCCTACAGAGGGACACTTACTGGCAGATGGCTGATGTTTCAAGTGACAAAGCACTTCAAGAACATACGCAGGTTTAAAATACACGAAAACATGTTGCCCTTGTACTATCTTTGACTGTACTGTGAAACGTGTTTAGTTCACGCTGGAAGCTCAAATCTTATGCATGAGTTGAAAATGCCAGAATCAACAGCGAGTACACAGCTGAATTGAAGATCTAACATTTTGGTGTTTCTTACTCTACATTTAAATCAATATCAATAAAATCACTGAAAACATGGAACACAAATCATAGATTCAACAAGTAAAATCAGAGGTACATTGACAGGAAGCAGAATAAAATGCTGGAGAAAAAGGAAAATCAGGTTTCCATTTATCTACAGATAAACAAGCCCTGCATTTTTCTTCAGCTATCTAACACAAAAGCATCTAGGTCATTATTGGTATAACAGAGACATGAGTAAAATGTAAATACTGCCAGTGCTATAACATATCTGAACGCAAAATTTACCAAAGCAGTAACATAGAAGGTAAAGTGGAAAGGCAACATTAGGAAATAACTACACTGCTCAAAGACACAATAAAATATTTTTGCTTACCTATGAGTCAAGAACAGTAAAACTAGTAAGTTAGGGTGATATATTTCATATATTGCTACAGACCTCCAAGGCAACGGCAGAAAGAAGATCAGGAAATGTTTGTAGGGACAGAAAAGCTTTGGATAAAAGATAGATCTCTGATCATGGTGGGACTTAAATTATTTGGCTACCGAAAGCCAAGAGCTATGCAAAAATCAAGTTAAGCATTTTCTGAGGGTACTGTACAACTGCTTTTTATGTAGTCTGTGGAACAACCAACTTGCCTTGCTATCATGTTAGACCTAATTCCAGGAAATACACAAATGTGAAAAATTAAGTTTTCACGCTAGGACTGAACGCTAGGACCGGTGATTACAAAATCTTTAGATTTCAAATACAGGGGTAAGCATTAAAGAAATACAGGTCATTTTTCCCTTCAGAAAATTGTTTCATGAGACAAGATGTCTCATGCAATTTCACCAGAATTTTGTAAGGGAAAAAAGAAACTCGGCATAAGGAACAAGAAATAATTAGAATTAGAATGCTGTTTTAAGACTTTGACTGAAATTCACCCTGGCTACTACTTAACAGATGAAGAAGAACAGAGGCTAAACCACTTAAAGCATTAAGATGGCTTTTAAAAATAGGAGCAATTTGAAATGATGCCAGGTAAAAACATTAGATTAGCAGAAAGTTCCAGTAACTAAACAGCCATAAGAAAATCTGAATTAACAACAAAGTGTTCTTCAGGTAAATTAAACTCTATTATGGTAATACGAAGAATTCAGCACTCTGTAATCACCAGTAACCTTGGGAAATCTTATATATGCAACAGCTGTGTGTCCTACTTTCACAGAATCAAGATAATAAATAGCTTTATTGTATGCAAACCTAAAGAAGTTAGGATCACATTTTCAAAACATAATATAGAAAAAGGCTTTTACATAAACAACAGAGCCCAGACAAAATAAAGACCGTGAAATTTACACTATTCCTAACCTAGGCAACAACTTCTGCTCTCCCTGTCACTTTAAATTCACGGAGCTAATATGCATTTTCTAGCTGCTATTGCAAATCAACACATACAAATCGCAACATAGCGTCTTCTTTAGCTGTTAAGCTGTGTATTTGTTAAACCACAGAAACCACAATAAGAACATTCAAATCCACTGGTTTCCACTTACGAGCAGCTATTTTAGAGCACTTTTGCTCAGTGTGTCGCTCAGCTATAGCTACTTGCCTAGTGAAATGAAAATGGCAAAAGGAAAAGAAAATCAGTTCTGAAAAGCAAATTTCAAGTAATTTAGAAGGTAAGCTCCCTAATTATAACATTGTTTTCTCTCAATTTCTTTCTACAGGGTGGTTATAAAATCCATTACAGCTGATGAGTATTTTTCCAAGATGTATTAATCTGAACAAACAGATTTCTACCATTTCTATCCAGGTACAAAAAGTAACAAAGTGCCATCAAGCTAAGCTGAAGTTTCATATGCTTGGCCAGGTGAATGCTTACTGTTTTTATCAATGATTAATGTTTTCCTGTAACACTGGATATAGTTCCTCTGAACACATCACCAGGTTATTAAAACTGTATGCAACAAAAACTTCAGAAACACCTTGCCACAGAGGTTTAACTTCTTCCTTATTAATAACTGATCTGCTCTTTGTTTGCTATAATCTGGCTGTTCTCAAAACAACATTCCACTATTAATTGTTTTTAATATTATCTTATAAATAAACTTTTCAAACGCTCTTCAAACATCTAAAGTACTCCAAATATGTACATATATACACATATCAATTGTTTCACTTTATCAGCTTGACAAAATTTGCATGTGCAAAGAACAGACCAGTGTGACTTGCCTTTCCTCATCACAAATTGCGATCGGACCTTTTCAGTATACTTTTAACTGTGTTTTCAATGAATTTAGTAATTGTGTAAGAAAGGTCTATTAGCTTCTCCCTCTCTCAAGGATATATTATAATTTCTTTCACTTATTTCCAGTCCCCTTCAGCATGTGTTTCTAATTATTATTTGCATACTGAATTCCACTTCAGGGTGGTTTCAGAACTTATATAATTTTAGTACTTCTCACTGATTTAAAGAAATTGAAGTAACCAAATTTCTAAAATGAGCAGCACCATCCCAATCAACTAGCATTGAACGAATTAAGATTGCTGTTAATACAAGAGTATGTAATATACTACAAAAAGCAGAAGAAAATCAGAGCACATATCTGAAAGAGCGATATGGATATTTATGGAATTATTCTGAGTATGAACTTCAAATAGCCATGGTCATGTTGACATACTTTTACTACGCATGGAGTTTTAGGACACCTAGAAATGTATTTGCAAGAGCATTTGAAGGTATATTCACTAAATGTGTTTTTATTGTCACAAAACTTTTAAATATGATGATCAATGATCCATATCCCAGTAAACAAGACATCCGAAACAGCCTCTTCCCAATAATTTCTGCTGCATCAGTATTAAGATTGAAAATTTTGAATAAACTTATTCAGTGTTAAGCTCTTCATTATGGATTTGAGTGTAAAATCAAATTTCCTCTTTAAATAAGTTGACTCAACATCTTCATATAACAGTTTATTTTCTGACATAGTCCTGGCATGTTAAATACTAGAATATATTACACAAAACGGAACTGTTAAGTCTAAAAATACACTAAATTCAGCTTTATTAAAGGACACTTAAGAGAGTAAAATTGTCTAAAGAATAATCATGAAATGTTCATATTCAATCCAGGCTTCTCTTTCAATGCCTCAAAAGCTCACCTTCCATAACTTCTCACATGCTTCTTTCATAAACCACAGATCTCATTTGTGAGATATAGGTGTACCACGTTCAGATCATTCCTCGTTATTTCCAACTCTTTCTTTTTTCTTCTGCCATCTTTATCTTCTTCCTTTGCTATGCTTTCTCTCTTCTCTTATCCTTTTCTGCCCATCGACATTATATCTCCAAATTCTCCAGTCTTTTAGTTTTTACATACATATGAGCTCGTAGACTGACCTTCCCCCACCGTGCTGAATTAGCGCTTCAGAAAGAAAGGCCTCTTCTCAACGAGCAATTGCTATTAAGCACAGTAGGAGAACAGCAGCTGAGCAAGAGATCTCACTTAAATTGGAAACAGTTTTTTTTTTTCTTTCCAGAAAAGGAAAATTTGAGGACACTAAAAATAACAAATCTGCAAGTTACTGCACCTGCAATTTTCAATTAAATATTCTTTATTTACAAAAATAATCAAAACTCTTCAAAACGCAAACTAAAGCTCTCAAAATATGCCTGTATGGGAGGATAATGCTTCAAAAGAAGACAGAAGAATCACAGCAAAGGCTGTCATTAGTAAATTTAGAAATTTTATAAATTTTGTAGCATCTAGAAAATTAACCCTTTCCCTCCCTTCACAAAACAGCCGAATTCCTCAGCCTGTTGTCATTAGTATATCTTCCAGAACAACACAGGAAATCAATACCTCATTTCTATTAAACCCATAGTCTTCTCCAGAGCAAGAGCACTGGTCTTCTGGTCTTTGCAGACAGGGCAAATGACACTACTGCACTGACAGTCTCCCTTCTTTATGCTGAGGACATGTATGGGAAGTTCAGCTGCAAAATCTCAGTGGGAGCACTCACTGCTCGAAGCACCAGTAATTATTAACGAGTCCGGGAGAACCGTCAGGGCTGCTTTTGAGTTACCACAGGCTTACTCAAGAAGAGCAACCATACATGCAAGATGGCACTTGCTCGTGCAAACCGAGAACGGTTTTCCCAGATAACGCTCATGTGCAAGGGACTGAGAATCAGACATGGAGTGTACAAGACTATCCTTTCTAGCAGAAATAACTGCAGCTCCATCCTAGCTCCATAATATGGCTGCTCTTAGAAACATGAATGATACCTTGCACGAAAGTTTCACGTTTACCTGTTAATGAGGTCTATGGGCAGAGAGATACTTTTAGGAGTTGCTAAGTAATTTTTTTCTTTCCTCTGGAAGAGTTAAAGGCATATTGTACCTTAAAAGAAAACTCAGAAACCACAGAAAACCTCAAGAGCCCAAGAGGAACAGGAACACAGGTTTGCAAGACATAATAAGAACAGAAGTACCATCAAAGTAAAATACCAAAATATCAAGAAAACGGTACCAATGTGCCCAGAAGGAAAAAGAGCAGAGCGCTGAAATGAAGGTACCAAAACAGGCATACCTGAAGCAACAGAACCAAACTGGAAACTGAGTAAACCTAGATCTGGATTAGGCAAAGAAAGAAGGCAGAAGGCAAAGAAAGAAGGCAGAAGACAAACATTCAAGAAGCAAAGGAGTCAGCAAGACTGTGGGACCAAACGGCATAACACACAGATGGCCAAAAACAAGTAAGGAGACAAAGGAGAAGGGCAAGAGACACTGTGCTGCTGCAGTAGAGAAGCTGCTAATTTTATAAATAAGAAAGCTGCACATCAAGTAGTGGCACATCAAATAATCTCTCCATCTCTCTAAGGAGAGCGGCTCCAGAGAGACAGGAGGGAAGGTCTCCCTCTCCTGTGCTGGACCTGGTCCCCAACGCTCAGACCTCAGGCCTGTGGCAAACACAGGAGCTCATGCACTTGCAGGGCAGCAGCCTGCCTTCAGCTGCTCAGGCCCTGCCAGGCGAGGCACAGCCAGCCGCCTGCCCCAGGCGGACTCACCGGCTAATCGTGGCCCCAACCCTGCAGCATAGCCAGCACATGAACGCCTTTTAGCAAGGCCCCACTAGGCGCTGTCCCCTAGCTGCAGCACACCCAACTGCAGAGATCGAGGTGGCCACCTAGGGAACGTCAACCCACCCCCTGCCCCAGGGCCAGGCAGCATCTCCATCCGTCATAAGAGAGAAGCCAAAAGATATGGTTAGCATATTGAATAACAGGTCAGCAGGAGCAAGTAATTAGGCCATACAGAGAAACAAGTATATCAGTATTAAAACAGCCAAAACAATCCCAGTAATCATTTCTCCAAGCATTTATTACTGAAAAGATATTTTGCAGTAAAGCATCCTTAAATTAAGATACCTGAACTGCCTTCCTGGGAAAAATGCAAGTAAATTAATGACCAAATCCAACATCCAATGACTTCTCCGTGAATTTCACTACTAGTTGTAAGGCAAACAATTTTCAAAATTCTTCCAAACACCAGATCTACGTTGCTATCAAAATATCAGTGTCCACATTTCAACATAGTTGTTAAGTGGGTCACTTACTAAAGCAAAACACTCCAAAGAGACGATGAATTAGTCTGAAGAAATTACATATAACCTTTTATTGTTAAGCAAGTGTATATTACCAGAATAATTATCAAAGACTTGTATTCTTAGAGCAAGAACAAGTTGCTGAAAGGATAAAAACAACATCCACAGATAAAACGAGAACAGAAATGTAATTAGTTCAAGGTTCTAATCTTAATCATAAATAACTAACAAAAGATCTCATAATTGAGGGCTTTCACTCCTGGTAATTTTTTTATGAGCAATTTAGGCATCTGCCATTCCAGTCAGCAAAACGTTACAAAAAACATATGCTTTCAGCACCACAGTGTCCTCGTTTCACATAGTTACATTGGCAGTGTTTAGTAACGCGAATCACTGAAAGGCTTTCATGTAGAGCAAGCAGGCAGTCCAAACAGAAAGGAGAATGAATTAAAACTTTTGGGGGACTGAAAACAGTCCGTTAGCTTTGAATTACTATACACCTTTTAGCCAACTGACCCAGATGCAGCAATGCACAAACACTACAAGGTGGGCGGCTTTTATCACATGTATTCTGGACAACACAAAAAGTGGGACACATGCTAAGGCTCCTCAGAGTCTCTCCTCTTTCTCCCAAAGCTGTAGTCTTATTTCTACTGCAGAGATGCCAGGGAACAGACAGAGCATTTCTGTTCAACATATACGCCGAAACACTAAGCTCTAACCATGCTTTTCGAATTACTGTTGAGGATACAAATTGTGCCTAAGGCAAAATTTCAAATATATTTTCATCTAAATGAAAAATTAGACTAAGTACACCCCACAAAACACCAATTCATAGAAGATACCGGATAAGTCATTGCTCTTTACCTTCTGGACACTGACAACTGAATCCATTGATACTGGATGAGCAGGTGCCTCCATTTTGGCATGGCTGCTGGATGCAATGATCAATCTCCGACTGGCATAGCTCCCCAGTGTAACCTACAAAACAGCACACGACATTCAGAAAATAAGGTTGTATCACTATATGTACTATTGTGTCACTCAAGTAGTACTGTTACTTATCTTGAATAAAATTAACTAAAAGTAAGAAACAGAACCTAGAATATACTTAATTTTTTTTTTTTATAAAATGAAATCTTTAATAAGAACTTATACTTCACTAGAGAAACCTAAATAAATAGTGGAAACCTAGAAATCACAAGAAATTGTACGTCACCAGCAGCAACATTCTGACAGCACTAGTACAACAGGGGTTGGGGATGGGCTCTCACAGGGAGCCATATAACCAGTAAAGTAGCCCCTTTTGAATGGTGTTTGAATGTATCTTGAATCTCAAGTCAAAATCCTTTAAAAGGAAGACTTTAAACAAGACTTGTCTTTCTGAATTATTTGTGCATATGCTGAATGACTGTCATTTGTTCCTACTTCTGGGCTTCAGAGAGGGTGTTTATTTTAAGTGGGAGCTGTGAAGAATTGCTCAGCACAGATGCAAACTCTGCCAAATAAGCTTCCCAAAGTTCACAAGCTACAGATTGTGTGTAGTGTACTATTTGACCGTAAGTTTGCTTTGTTCCATATGTCTGAAGTCTACTGAAGTCTGTCTGTCATTATCTAAATGATTAAATACTCCAAACTTAAATTCTAACACCACACCTTCCCCATTCTGATTTTTATTTTGCTTCCCAGAAACTTTCTTGGATGCATGACTGAAACTACATTACACATACAGGCACTTTATTTTTAAAAAGTTATCCCAAATAAACTTGTAAACATCATCAGTAACAACCATGATTAAAAACAAACTATGACTAGTTAATACCGTTAATATAGCGCTATAAATAGGTTAGCTAATATAATGACTCCAAGGAGGGATAGAGGGCAAGCCTGGATGAGGATTTTGCTCATGCAGGGGAAAAAAAGGAAAAAGATTCTTATTTTGATTAAATAATTCTTTTTAGTGCAGTCAAAATTAACACTTATAAGCCTACTTGGCAAGCTAATACTTACACCTGATCAAATTTATTGATGTCACCATGAAGTAGATCTGAACATAGATTCTTATATTTGGACTTACTGCAGTTCTCCTCTAGAAAAGGATCTGTAAGACTTTTGCCTCCGCGTACCTTACTATCTCTACATGCTACAGAGAGGCAAATTATGATCCTATTTTCTGCAATACGAATCCTGGAAAAAGAAACTGTTTTATCTGGATTAACACCCATAAGTCACCTAAACTCAAGAGGCAGAATGAGACTGAGAAACAGATCTCTGCTCTTGTGAGGCAGTGATTTTCTGTAATTCTAATGGGTCTCAAATTACCATAAAATTTACAAACACTGAAGCAATGAAAAACTACAGAAAACTATGTCAATCAATCTTTTTCATCTACAGGCTTTGTATTTTTTCAAGTACTCACATTCAGCTGATATTTTTATCAACTATAATACAATACTGAATATGCTTAACTCATTTAAACATTTTTCCATCTTCAAACTGTTACCAAGTTTGCGAAAGCTAAAAATTACACTGGAAGTCAATGTGTATCCAAAGGAATGTTGGCATAGAAAGGGATAAACGGTTGCGCTGCTCTGAAGCTTGCTAAAAGTATCATCTACGTCTTACCACTGTCATAACAGCTTGAGGCAAAACTCAGGTATTTTATGTCAGCTTTGTGAAAACAATTATGTTCTATCTTATTATTATCTATGCGGCACATTCTCTCCAAATGGAGGCAAATATTATATGAGAATTTAATAGCAAATACATGTGCTACAAATCATGAGTTTCTGAGCAACCATCCTAGAAAAAAAGCAGTTTGTTCTTCAGATACACTAAGAATCATTACATCTATTGATTTTGTGCTGTTACAAATCTTCATAGCTTTTCATCGTAGCAGGATCAGAAAAACATGATTCTTTCCAGGTACTAATGGTTCTGAAACTTGCAAATGGAGGCCTCTACAATAATTATACTTTTATTTTCTGTCTTTAATAGTTTTTTCTGCACAATGAAGATGATCTTTTAGAAACTTATAATTACATGAAGAAGCTAGTTTCTCTATTTTTTGATGTACTGGCACAAGTTTGAAAAAAGAAAACAAGACAAAGCTATGGGTAGAAACACCAGGCTGCTGAAACTAACAATGATTAAGCCATCTCAGTAATTATAGACATCTGCAACTAAAAAAAAAAAGAAAAGGGGAAGAAAAATTATTTTAAAATACTTAAAAGCTAAACCTAAACTGAATGTGTGGAGGCCATGGAGCACCTTGCAAGTTCAAGAACGTAATAAATGAAGTTAACTCTACTTTGCTTAGTGAGAATTACAGGGGAGCTCAATCATACTGTGACTCACCAGTGAAGCCTTCACATATGGAAACCAAATACTTTCATGTCATCTACTGTAAGCTTTATGCTATAACACAAGAGGTAGCAGGGTTTTTTGTAGAAGGAAAGATTTGGAATGCTGACATAACACAATATATTTTTCCAGTAGGATCTGATAAATTTTCTACAGACAAGCTGAAGAAATAATTATGAAATTAACAGGACACAAATTATAATACTTGAGGAAAATCATTTTTTAAATGGAAATACATTTCCAAAAAAATAAAGCAGAAATAGATTTTGTTCAAGAAATTGGCATGTACTTATTCACCGTTTCCTTTCCACGAGGCACCTTGTGGTATCAATCCAATGTCTTCTGTATACGAGTTAACACTTCATCAAATAAGCAACTGAAATGCCTGTCCCTAACAGTGACTGCCTTTTTACCTCATAGGGAGCTTTTAAAAAATGGATAGTCTAAATTCTGAAAAAATAAGCAAGTGCTTGATGGTACAGATATCTGTCAACAGGTGTTTTCAGAGCACACAGATTCCATTTTTTTCTGGCTAAAATTGGGTACTTAAGTACTTCTGAAAATACTACTAAGTGCATATCTCTAGCTTATGGCAACTGGCAATTCAAAGCCATTAAGAATTTTGCTCCAAAGTGCTTTTGACTGAAGAGTATCTGCAGACTACAAATGAGAACAGTTGTGTTACAGTCACCTGATACAGCTTTGGGCTGTGTGGTTTCATTATCCAGATATGCATGGTTTCATCCTGGCCCTGTTCCTCTTTTCTTCAACGAAGAAATTAGAACACAGGCTCTATCGTGTATTACCTGCGCTCAGACAGGCTTCCTATACCCTATTCCAGTCCTTGTGCACTTTAAGCAAGTTAATGCTTGCACCTATAATAAATATAGAGTGGGATCACAATAAACAAAAATACTTAGGTATTTAAATCATTATACCAGTTATATAACATTTGCTTGATCAATGCTTGATCAATTTGCTACCTCACGGGAGGCATCACAGACTTACACCTCAGTGTAACAGTGGAAGTAATAACCACCTTTGGAGTCTCATATGCAAGTGGGAAGTGTGTCTATGTTACTCTGCGAAAGTTAGCTGTACAACATCAAAGTGTTCAGTTTTCCTAGTGGAAAAATTCTTAGGCTTTCTGGTAAACATATCAGAACTATCAAAAGCATTCCCCCCCAAAGCTTTCTTTACCAAACAAAACTGAAGAATTTTAATAGAAAGCATATACTGGCATTGTTTTGCAAGCCTTGTCTGTTAATTATCCAAGTCAGTGGCATTTTAAATTAAGACAGGAAAACTATATTCCAATAAGAATTTTCATTTTACAAAAAGTGGGCAGTTGGACCCAACAACAGTGAGGATTTGAGAGAACATTAAAAAAAAAAAAAGTATGTTTGTTAAATACAACTACAATGAGTTTTTCCTCACATCACTGAAGAATTAGAAGTTGCACTTATTTAGTCCAGATCACAATTTGGCACTTTATTTTCAACTTAAATAGGTATTTTTGTTTAGTTTTTTTATTATTATTTCTTCTGACATAGGGAATTTGAAAATAGCAATTTCGCCAAATAATACTTGATGTAGACAAATTTTCAATATATCTATCTGGAAAAAGGTATAAAACATAATCCTAAAAATAACTTCCTATTTTCTAGTTAGAAGCTCCATGTCAAAATTCGAAAGAATTCTGAATCAACTACATTCAACATGACATTAGTAGTACGGATTGTTCCAGTTGTTCAAATTTCAAGTTTGTGCCACTCTAATCTTTCTCTCCTTAAATGTACTTTGCAGTTAATAGAATTTAAACAATCACTCAATTGTATTTACATATACTGTTAAAGTAACAGTTGATCTATTCGCATATTTATGAAATAGAACAGAACACACACGTGCTCATAGGGAGCTTATGATCTAATTTGCAGAGCAAATTTATTATAAATTCAGGTCATTTATATAAAAATTAAAATATAAATCACTTCTTTGCTGCATATTCAAGAGAGTTACTCTAAGCGAACAGAAAAAGAATGGAAGTCCCAGAGGCTTAACAAGTATATTTGAAGTAAACTCACTGTTTTTTGGAGGGAATGAAGGGAGCTAAACAATTTGCCACGGCTGAAGTTGTGAAGTAAGGAGTTCACAAAACAATGAGAGGACAGTAGGTGGCATCACTTGCACTCCCCCAGCTTCCGGTTTAGTCATGTTTCAGGCTGGTACTTCAACATAATTTATAGCAGCTAGAAGGTTTCTCTAGTCTGCACTAACTGCATTAATGTTCCAGATAAAAATAGTCTCATCTTTAAGGGAAAAAAGGAACACTCACGACATGGCCCCTCTTTCGATGGAGAATAAAGCAAGCGTTGCTACGTGTACCTCCTACATACGTTCCATCCACACAAATAAATACCCACCCCATATTAAACTGTATCTTTCAATGACCATTTAGAGACAATCACCAAAACCTGATTAAATCTGATTTCTACTACACAACTTTTATATTCTGCAGAGCCTAGAGGCTGACTCTGTAAGTCAGATAATTTTTTTAGATAAGTTCTCTTCCCTTTTCCTGTAATATCAACAGACCAGTTAGCAATCTCATAATTTAACAGCCAGTAAATTACTCAGGTTTTCTACAGACCTGAAAATGAGCGGTAAAATGCTTGTAGGAAGTAAAATTACCTGCTACTGATCTTATTCTTAGCCTGCTCTTATTTTTAAATAGTTTTAGAAAATATATATCGAAATGACTCTTCTGATTACTGAGTTTGTCTTTGAAACGTAAGATTCAGATAGCACTGAGTTTTCTATAATAACTATTTTGTAAGGAGGCTTCTCCATCAGCATGTAATATTAATCTACCCTCCAGCATTCAACTACGACCATTATATTTAGTTTAATTTTAATTCCAATTAAGATGTCTATAGTCATTTGATCAAATTTTAAAAAACAAACGTGCATAAAGTAAGTTCAAAGAATACATGTATTTGATCCTTAATCAAATCCACAAATTACTTGGTTTAGCCTCAGCACTTTTTAAACGCCTACAACATTCAAGTTAATTTTGAGGAACAATCCAGCAGCCGCATAGTTTGGAGATAATTTTTTTTCCTATTTGACCAGGACATCTGAAGAAAGGCATTTACTAGTTACAGTGAAATGTAACATACATACTGAAAGGTTAGTTATAATACATATTTACATACTAAAAAAATAGACTAAGGAAAAGTTGATTTGAGGCAGCAAACTAACTCCTATTTTGCTCATCTCTTACTGTTAAAGTTCTATTAGTTATGAATAATTCTCTCCTTAGGTTATGGTTCAGATGTGTGGCAGCATGCTTTCAATGGCACTGTCCACAGGTGAAAAAAACTGGCTTTACGTTCTTGTAGTTTTTCCATTTCCTTCTTTCCTAGTATCTGCAGATGCACAGTTCACTGCTCTGCAAAAGATATGCACAGAATGTTAAAATAAAACTGCATTATTCAAAATGTAACGTAATACCTACCAGCCAGGCAACTGCATGTGAAATTTTTTCCATCATGTTTCTGTATTACATCCGTGCAGGTTCCATTGTTCTGACAGGGCTGCCTTTGACAAGCATCAAATTCTTCACATAGAGCACCCAGATACTCATCCTCACAGTCACAGAAAAAAGTTGCCTGAGAACAAACAGAATACGTACGTCACAATGAATTTGCAAAGATTATGTTTTCATCGAGTACTCTACTGAACAAAGTAGTCTTTTTTGGTTTTCTATTTATAACAAAAGCAGCTGCCACAAACACATCAACATGAATTTCGGCATAAAGTTGTCCATTAAAATACTAAATCTGCACCAATCCTTCAGTTAAGATTTTTAATGATGTCATGGAATTTCATATAAGCAAGGAGGCTGGGATCAGATCCCTAACACACAAATCACTGAATTTTTTCTTCTGTTCTGTTCCAGAAACTAAATCTATAGAATGGAATAATGGCCAAAATAAATAGCATGCAGATCTACCACAAGAAAATCCTGCAACAGAGATGTACCCCTATGTGTAAAGGGCAGGGTTGCGGTCCCAGAGCATTACTTCAGGAGTTTTAAATAAAACCTGACACAGACCTTCAATTCTGCTAAAAGAGGTCTCTTCTGAATATATTTGGTACATTTTCCAAACTCACCATCTAATAACAAAGCAAATGGCACTATATCTGTTAAATACCTTTAGTAGGCACAACATGGCATTCTTCATTTTTGTTAGTAATAAAATAATTAAAAAATAGCTTACAAAAATCTTTTAGAGCGCTGAAGTTGCTAAGGAAGTCTCTCAGACTGGAGGAACAAGGAAAGCTCTCTCATCTGTAGTACCCAGTTAGATTAAACAGCTTACTTTCTTTGTTCATTAAGCACTAGATGGCAACATTACTCACTCTCTCATACATTACAAAGCCAGATCACCACTGGCAAGAATGCAGCTGTTTCACACAAACATTGCAATGCAAAGTACAGCATGCGCATGGAACTAGAAACAAAGAGATGGGTTTAGTACTTTATTTGCTATTTTTACTTGTTTTCTGTATATGAATAAACAGCTGTGCATTAAACATAAAAGAAAATAACAATCCTCATACAAATAAAAACTGTACTCCATAAACCCAATATTTCATTCTTTCTTAAAAAATATTACATCGGTTGAGTCTAAACAAGTAATAACATACATCTCCCAAACTCAAAGTGATGCATGTTATTTATCAGGAGTGCTAAACACATGGTCTATACATGGTCTGGTATTTGCCCAAGCCTGCTTGTAAATCAACTCTGAGTATCTCTCACATTAGCAATGACAAGTTTCCAAACAAGGCTGCAGTTCAACCGAAAGGCCGGACAGGCACGCAAAATACAGTCAAAAATATTATAATCATATCAACAAATACTATACTCATATGAATTATCTTCAAGTAAGATAATTCTATACTACATGCTATAAGTTACTATGCTATATGAGCTGCAAAGATCAGTGGCTAACAGGGTGAAACAGATAGCACTTTTGTCTAAGAACTGAACAACTAGCAAAACATACAGTAAGTATTGGCACATTTCCCTGTGGCACTGGTGGAGAACAAATCAGCTTATAGGTCACTTCAGTACCTAAAGACAACAGCCATCAGTGGATCAAAATCAGTGCTGTCCTCAACATCTCCAAGTATTATACAGTAGAGATGAGGACCCAAGTAAAGAGTGCACATAAACGTCTCCTACAGTATCCTTCAGAGCTACTTTAAATCCTTTTGATACTCAGATCATTCCTGGATTGGAGTGTTAGGGTTAGGCTTAACTACAAAATCAAGGCTGCTGCCTGTAGGGCAATGAAACCAATTACTGTCTCCATAACTCACCTGCTCTGGATGAGCAAAGTGAGACACTATACTAACCACAAGTCTGCATTATTTCTTCTATCTGCCTTCCATGATCAGTGAATTCAGATGTCCCAAAATAACCACTAATACCACATACAGGTTTTTCACTGAAACACAGTTAAAGAATGCATCTCCAATCAAGGCAGTTTTCCTGGTATTGCAAGATTGTTTTTTTCCCCTTCTTACAAAACATTTGTGGATAAATGCAAAAAGCCGGTCTAGTGACAGTGGATATAGAAATAAAATAGTTCAACACTTTCAAGAGTGCCAAGATTTCCTATAACAGCACAGATGAAGCCCATGAACTGTACTACTAGGAATCTCCATGCCTAATTGTATAGTCTATTTTCCTTCCATTCTTCTCATCTAAAACTAAAGACTAGACAAATGGCAAAAAGAGTGCATATTAGAAATATAATTTCCAATATAGACTCATTTTCAAACACCTAAGATTAGATTAACTAGCCTGACTCGACTATAATGGGAAAAATTCCCTTAGGACACCACAAACATGGTATGCCTTTCCTTGTTGTTGATATCATGCCAAAGGAATCAAATGGAAGAGTTCAAAGAGGAATAAACTTTAACGTTAAACTCTAGTCTAAAACAGTTTATCTATTTCTCCGAAAGTCATTAGTAATCTCCTACATTTTTATATATTGTTAAAGATTATTTGTAGTTGATGCATAGTTCTCATTTTTTGTCGCTCATTATAAAGTTACTGGAGATACATGCGCATAAAAAAATTATGCTCTTTAGCCTACAGAAATAATGGTCAGGTCTGAACTACAGAACTACCATCTTATCAATATAATGTATCAGACATTAAAATAAATACAATACTGAAGTCTAGAATAATAGTGTCTGCAAATAAATCAAAATAAATACACTCCTTAGAGTATAATTGAGAGTTTAATTATAAATGGGAAACTCTACACCTGACTAAACATTAGAATTCACTATAAAATTTAAATTTTATTTCTAATAGTTTTTAGATAGCACCTGCAAATTTTACTTTGTACTCAAGTATCTAAGCATGATTTGTTGGGAATACTTCTTTTAAATATCACGTATTGTCTCTCAGAAATAGAGATTCCCTCTGCACTTACATAGCCAAGACTGCGTACTTTGAATATTCAGTCATTCTCAGATTAATACCTCAATTTAAATAGTTTACGTTCCAAGCTTTTTTAGGTTCTTTTCATTTAAGCTGATACAAAACAGCAATACACTGATGGCATTGTGCTGGTATTACTACTGCCTTTTTACTCTTGAATAAATATTTGAGTTTTAAAATAGACATGAATACATCAGGAAAGATGCAGGCACCACGTCTAGATTCCATTCCATGTATGCAGAGACTGAAATCCTGATATCATTTTAAAGCCTGTTTCTAGTCCTTGTGCGTGCCCTGAAAATGAGAACAGACTCATCCATGTCTATGTGGCATTAAAGACAGCCATAAGCAAGAGCTCCAAAGAGTATAATATTTGCCATCAAAGTTAACTCTTGCCACAAAACAGAGAGGTGTCATGCGTGGTAAGCTCAGGCTCGTGACCTGTGCACAGCACAGCACTACCTAACCATTCGTTGCAAGGACAGGCATTATCTGTATCATTCGCACAGATACAAGCTCCACGGCTTTGCCTGCACTAAAATCTCTTCTAGAATGCACGGAGAACTGCAGCAAGGTCCCTTGAGTAGCAGGGAGGGACCACAATGCTCACAGGACGGGCAGCGGAGCCAGCAAGCCCTGCGTTCAAGTCTCTGCTACTTCTGGACCTGAAACAGTAAATAGAGCAGAGTCTGGCTGTCCCCTAGTTTTGGCCATCTCTGTATCATGTGTCACGGTGCAATGGAGGCATGCACCACCTTGTACAATTGTAGCGTTGGACCTCTTAAGACCATTAACTACGATGATCTCCTGAACGATGTAAACTAGGTATTCTGCACAGCATCAACAACTTCATGTCTTCATGCGGTGCATTTCCTATGGAAAGTGAGACATATTTCGCAAATTCAAATATCAAATATCAAATCTAGTGAGAATTGACATTTGAGTTTTAATTTGCAAAGTAAGTCTCCGAATTTGAAATTCTGCTTAACATTTTTACAAAGATTTGAGTCAGCTTTGAAGTTTGCATCAGACTCCAAAGCAGACTTTGCTAAAGCTCAGCAGTGTTCAAATCTAAAGTTTAGGAACATATATACAAATGAGTAAGTTTCTGTTGCAGATTTTTGTTCTGTTGAGTAGATTTCTGTTGTAAATTATGTAAAAAGGATTATGCTTGCAAAAAGCATACTGGCATGCTGCAAATATTACTGAAAATAACATTTCTTCATCTCCCTGTGTTCCCAAAGTAAAGCTCTTGACTATGCAAGACATTCAGAGTATTAATCTCTGCATTATGTATGGCAGAGTAAAGAAAAACATAAAACTCAACATACATGTTGGCTAGTGCCTTCCTAAGGTTTAATCACGTGTGCTTGAAACCAAAGCTAATTATTATAATGGTAGGTATTAATATATTTAAACAATGCAACAGTTAGGCAATTAAAAATGTCTGGATAATATTGATACTTCTGTAAGAGTATAATATATGGAAACATTTTACCATAAAATATAGTTAACAAAAGGGGTTTTGAAAGCAGCAAAAGAGAAGCATTGTAGCACTTTAAACTGAAACGTCTAATGACAGATAATGGTTCTGAGATGCAGACAAGTTATTCTGTAGAGAAGATTAGGTGTCATCGTTTTTATTAGGCCTGTCATCCTTCCCAAATGATAGTATTAATTTTTTTCTTGACTAAGTGACATGCGTTAGCATATTTGAGGAAAACTAAATACAGAAGAAACCACACACTGCCACAATGCTAGTATTGAAGTCACTATCTTAAAATTCCAAAACAATAATCTACTATCAGTAGATAGTTTGTCTGTGTATTTTACTTGACAATGGAGTATAAATCCATATACACACAGAAGGTATGCATCACTCTGAATGGCAATAAAACAAGTTCTTTCTAATAATTTATTAGACGATCCATTTCTCTGTAAGCATTGTATTATAAATGTAGTTGGAATACATTTATTTTCCTATTTTGAATAAACAGAAGTGATAAAGTGCTCATCAGAGTCTAAATTTGAGATTAAAGAGAGAACATAAAAACTCATCATTTCTTACTAGAGTAGAGACTGGTCCTTAAGACGACCAGAACAAAATGCATGCCTGTTCTTCTCTTGTTGAGAAAGACATTCAGTATCCATTGAAACCTTTACAGTAAATTATTATGTTGAAACAAATGTTTGAACAAAATGTTACTCTGAGATGAGTATATACTTTGTATTTAGGATTATTTCACATTTAGAAACTTAGTCCATTTGCAGGAGGACATGTCTTTAGGCATAAATGGAGCTTTTTAAAATTAGCCATTCTTCATATAATCAAGTGGACTTACCCCACAAGCTTCTGGTCCATATAGAAGATGTATGAAATATCGCTATTCAGTTCAAACAGTTGTATGTCAGTGCAGAGGTAGAGGCCAGTTATTTTTGCGTTAATCGTAAGGATTCTAATTCCAACTAAAAATTTTGTATTCGTATAGTCTGCCCTTCCACATTTAAATGGTTATGGAATGGTGCAATCTGCAGGAGAATTTACTATAACTCCATATGGACTAAGCAGAATTATGGCTCTCAAATCCAACGGATATCTACAATTCCACTGAAAATTCTACGCAGAAGCAGAAATTCACACCAAAAAAAAAAGAAAAAAATCTCCCTTTGGTTTAAGTACTAAGGTTTCTCCTTTTCATTCGCAGCTAACTTATTGGAGGATCTGGTGTAAAGCTGTGCATATAAAGGTGAAAATGATTTTCACATTGTGATGATGTCATGACCAGTATTACCCTCCTGACACATTCACACTATCCCTGTGGAAGAATGCCAGGCACAGCAGCAAAAGAGGGGTACAAAGTTCATACAAAGAATAGAATAGGAGACAGTATCACTTTGACTCAGCATCATCTCACTTCGCAGAACTTGGAACAAAGTGGTGAATTTGTGTTCTTTTCCATGACAACAGTAATTAAAAAAAAAAAAACCTGTCATTAAAAACTCTCATGTTTATGTCCACATTCTATAAAAATCATCTAGCTGAGTAGAGGCCGACTTACCTTTATTTGGTAAGGAACGAGTAAAAATTGGGTTACTGAGTAACTTCCAGGTTCGGCCAGAATTTGTTTATAGTTTCACGCTTTCCACCAAAGACAGTAGGCCACTACAGTTATATTACTGCAGATTGTTAATTACAGTTAACTTTCCCACTAAGCAGATGTGTTACAATACTCTCTAGCATTAAACTAGATTTGAAATAAAACTATGAACTACGTAAAAGCACAAAGACAATCATTAATCTTCTCGGCACTGGAAGCAATGACTACAGCAGCCAGCGTAGCTCTTAGCTTATTCATGGCATTAGGTCTTTTACGCATCCTCCTAAGGACTTGCTTTGCATCCTGGAAGACTAGATTGCACACACATAATGAATTACAGATAAAAACAAACAGCATATCACAAAGGGCATGCTGTAAAGCTAAAGAAAATTAAAGTTTCAAGTCTGCAAAAAAGAAATACAGAAGGTGCATCTTATGGGAAACTCACACAATGGCTGCTACACGTTCAGCATGTAATTTTGACGGTTGTTTGCTCCATCATTAGGGAAATCATTATGACATTTTAGTGCCTATCTCACCTAAGATGAGTTAAACTGACAAAAACATCCTGCTTAATGAAATATGCATCTTCTGTTTTTAACTATGTTGTTTATACTGTGACTGAATCCGTTTCCTGGCTTAAATTCTATTATGGAACTAATCTAGAAAAGAATAAGGAAAACTGGCAAATTTGAAAAATCACTATGGCTGAACATATCAAATAATCTTTTTATTCTCCCTGGAGCAGCAAGCTAGTCATAAATTACCAACATTTGGAAACACTGTATCAGAGGCCCAGCCTAGAAGGCTACCTGGAATAGCTCTAACTGCACTGAAGAGAGCCTCTGGAGACGTTCTTCCATTTGTTCAAGTTCTAGAAAATCCAGGAGTAGTTTTATGACAGTAAACACAAAAGCAGTTACATTTTTGCACTTGAAATTTGATTCAAAAGGAAGAGATATCAAGGATACTGCTAATTCTATTTCTCTCTGACTACAATACACTGGAAGATGACTCTGAGAAAGAGATTTCAACATGATTTCTTTATGCCTCGTAGCTTCAGCTACGGTGGTGTTAGTCAACCGGAAACTACCACATGACATGTCAGAAACAGTACCTTAATAAATTATCTTGCTATTACACTCAGGTTCAAAGAGAGAACCAGGTGGAAAAAAGATTATGAAAAATTCATGACTTCTGTCCCACTAGAGAGCTCTGGAAAAGAACAGGCTGTGTCTCCATGAGGGGGGGGAATCCTTTGTCACCAACAGCTCTAGTTTTAACTTTTAATAAAACTTTCTACGTCAAGATTGAAAGTGGTGATGTGCAGGTTCTGATTTCTTTCTTTGGAGTGGTATAACAGCTCCCTTTTCCTGTCGCAAAGCCAATTTGTCTTACATTTTAAAAATTATTTTATTTTTAAATAAAATGCTATGTCTCAAAGATTTATAAATAATGTTTTGCTATTAAAGGTAATATAAATATCTTCCTTAAAAACATAGAACAAAGAAAGATATTAAAGCTTCCACATGGATACAAGCATTAATGTCTTCTCTCTTTGCGATATATAACGTGGAGTTAAGAGAAAGAAATCAGAGACCTAAGAATGGACAAATAACAGGAAAAACAGAAAACTAAATAAGACTATCAAAGACTTTAACTCTCAACTTGACAAAAAAAATGGAAAAACGGAAGACCTTTTGATATGTCATTGCACAGAGTAATTTCAATATATTATTTACATAAATCAAATCCAAAATGCTGAATTTCTTTAAAAAAAATGTTACATTTAGCAAAGCAGAAAAACTCAACTGAATTATGAAATAGCACACATGTATCTGAATGAATAACTTTGTTGGATATCAGCCAAGTGGTATGGCAGGGTAGCATTTACTCCTGAAAGCATCTTGCAGTAATTGTGCTCACACATTACCTCCAGCATTTTAAATTTCCACTTTTGAGAAATGAAGGTGGTGCTCAGTTATTCCAGATGTTAGCGCTGCCGTGCATACAGAGACAATCGCAGCACTTTAATTACTGTTGTTACAATCCAAATTTTCATTTTTCTATCAAACACACTTACTGAGAATTTAAATCAGAAAACGGTAGCAGATAAACTATCGTAAACATGCTTATTGAGAATTTAAATCGGAAAATGGTAGCAGATGAACTATCACTGAATTGCCTAAATATGCCAAATTTTCTATGCTCACAGCAGGCTCACAGCTGTTAATATTTACTCAACAGCTACTACTGCTTTTACCTCCCAAATGAATATTAATAAAATCCAAGATTAATTGTGCATATTTGTGCTGCAAATGACTTTTAGTCCATGAAATAAAATCAACGTATATAAAAGGTAACAGAGAATATACGATCTCATTCAGAGAAGGCTGGTCTGGTTTTGTAAAAGCAGTGTACCAACTGAAAGTTTAACACATTTGGCTCTTATTTTTTCATGTTACTACATCACACAAAAAATTCACAGTGGCCAGGGGAGTTTCTATCTCTATTGTAGTCTCTCAATACGGTATTATTTAAAGGAAAGAGCTGTACAGTGAAAACTAAATGAATATGCTCCCTACTCAGATAAAGGCAGGACAATTTTCAAACATCAAATTACTTCACTCTGTTTCTTCCCATAATCATGTTCAGACAACTCCATGGCACTGTTTGGTAATTTGTGAGGAAGCAATTACTGAGACATATGACGAGAGAAGAACTAGACTACATCAGACTAGACAAAAGAAGGCTGAAGCTTCACAAACTGGAACCCATTGGTCTGGAGACTGGGGATCCCAAATGGTCACAATATGCTTTTCATCTCACAAAGAAACACTCCTGTATAGCGAGAGTCAGATGTAGCACACGTCACCAGATACTTGATTTGAATATTTGTTTTTATTGTCAGGGCAGTGTATGACACTCTGCACCTTATACCAGGCATTGTCTTACTTTTAAGTGCTTGATTTTTATGAATGACAAAAATAAATTCTTCATATTTAGTAACATCTGTGGGCTTCTGAAGCCCATCACACAACAACAAGGAACACACACCCTCAACGTATCAAGTACGTTTTAGCCTACATTTGTATCACCACGTAATTTCCACTCTACAAAAAGATCTTGGTAGGTTCACCTTACCTCATCTGGTTGTGTGATACATTTTCCTTTCCCCGAACACTGGAAAGTATCTGAATCGCTTCCCACAGGCAAGCAGGTACTGACTTTCACTATCACAGTCAAGCGTAAAGCCACAATACATTTAGTAACTGAATCATTCAAAAAACCTGAAAAAACGAACGTCAAGAATTGTTAACACACAAGACAACATGCTAATACACATTAATGCTCTACTGCTAGACAAACAAAAGTAAATTCAACAAAACTGTCAGCTAAGAACACCGTTGCTCATATTTCATAGAGACCTTTCAAAATTCAATACATTTAAATTCAAACTGGAATACAGTTTGGAAACATGTCAAAATACTCATATTGAGCAACAAAAGGAAGGCAGGCCTGTAAAACAGACCTACCTTCAGGGCTCTAATCTGCACTACTTAGGAAAAACTGACTTCAAAAAAATTCAAAAAATGGCTTGAGATAATCTTTAATTATTAAAGTACTTGAGAGTCCTGTCCCATTTGGCTAATTTCTAGGAAAAAATACATAGTTAAGCTAAGGCATTCGGAAAGCACTTATCAGAGCACTGTAATACATCACTGACATAAAAATAAATAAAAGCCTAATTTTACTTTATTTTCTGTTGTTTTTGTCTCCTGCTATCCTCTTGGTAATTTAAAAAATGTATTTCCTTAAGCTTTTCACGACAAGAAATGCTAAATCAAACTTATTTAAATTTTTTTACTCACTAACTTCTAAAAATTACTCTATAGATAGAGTTAAAAAGCATACAGAGCATAAACTGTATTACACTGGTAACAGACGAACAATTTCTTAGCTGCGTTTTGATGGAGTTTGCAGGGAATACATAAACAGCCTGACAGCATTTCTTTGTGTATTTGCAATACAAGTATTTTCAAACGTCTAATCTAATCAGTCTATAAGGTGATATACTAGGCATAAATGAACACCACTGAAAAATGGGAACATTTGAGGAAGAAGAAGAAAATTCATGAATCTCTGGCTAACACCTATAATTGCAGGGAATTCAAAAAATAGTCAGTTGGAATCTATTAAACATACTGGAGCACAACATCCCTATCGCTCATATGTCTAATAGAGTTTAACATGTTGACTCCCGAAAAAAATAAAGAAAAATAGTAAAAATAAAATGAGGCACATACACAGTCCATGAAAAAGGAAATAAAACTAGAGGTCATGTCAAAATACATATAGCTTGTTTCTTTACTTCAGCTGACGTACAACTGCATCGTTCTACCACGGTCTCTAGAGTCCAGGGTTACAGCCCTTCTGCGTGCAGCTGCTTTTCACTGGGTGTTGGTGGTAAAATAAATATGCAGTGACACAAAAAGTGTGCTTTTTTGGCATAGTGTATATAGTGCATGCAGAATATACTCACTAAAAAGAAAGACTCCTCTATTAATATTTTGATTAACCTAAATTAAACTTCACCCTCTGTAATCTAGGTGGACCCCTAAGGGTCCAAGACTGGAATATTGGTATGGAACGTTACAGACACAGTCATGGTGGGATTATACTTTTCATTAGAAATGAATAGAGAGATTAAGGAAAAACAGATGCTGTTTTTAACTCAAATATCCTTAACTTTAAAAAGAACGATGGTATATAGATGCAGGAAGTATATGACACAGAATAGTTTTCCTAATATTTAAATTTGAAATTCTACAATCCATTTACTGTGTGAGCCTCGGAGGATCTCCTAAAACGTAATCCAGCTTCTTGCACTGGATACAGTACTACATTTACGCAAAGGGAAAATTCAGTACAATATAAACATTTGTAATGAACAGTAATGAAACAAAGTTCCAAGCAACTGCCTGAATTTTAAGTGAATTCTCTTTCCAGAACCGCTACCAAGCATTGTTTGCATTCTAAATATGGAAGAGTCAAATATTACTAATACTGCAAATTCCATAGAGAATTATATGGGAGACTTCCGTTCACTGCTCTCAATTTTTAAGATTTCACTTTTCAATGCTGCATCCTTTTGAACAATTAGTTGTCTATAGTAGAAACCCTGACCCCTAAACCATAACTTCAAAAGTAGGAAAATGTAAGGTCCAATACAAATGTCATCAGCTTGAGTATAACCTCTATGAGTTAGCTAAATATTCTAAAAGATTGGATAAAAATGTATTAGGTATAGTTCCAAATATCTAACGGCCCGCTTTGGCTAATGAAGATTATCGTAATCTGCTGACCTCTTCTAAGAAAGCCAATTTGTTCTGACCTTAATACACAGCACATTTTTACCAATCTGTTCAAAGATGCAGCCATGATTATTTTCTTTAACAACAGAACATGATTGTCATAGGTCATCATGCAATTATATGTGAATGCTTGCAAGAATATGGTATTTAGAAAATGTCTTTGGGTTCACATTTGCTTGTCTGAAGCAGACTGTTACATATTCTTCAGGACAGCTCCCTAAAGGGACATTAAAAACAACCTTCTTTGTACTTTGAGTCTTGTTACTATTTTGGTATCAAAAGCCCTTAGGCAAACCACTGACGAAACCATTATTCTCACTGGAATGCCACATATTTTCCTGCAATTTCTAATTATCCCACCTAATTTCCAAAGACTAGAAAGATAAAAATACAGCTATTTATTTTCACTCTATAGTGGTTACGTACAACTTTCTGAAATCTCTAGGTTTTAAGGCTAGAAGAACCCTGTTTGAACATCTAGTTTTGACTTGCTGCTTAACTCAGGTCATAGTAGTTCAAGGGATTCTTGTAAGAGTGACTGAACTAGAGTGAGTTTAAACTTCTATTTTTAACTTCTACTTAGAAGAATAATTTCAGAAGCACATTTACATCTCCCGTCATTTCAAGTCTGAAGAAAAATATTACAGCTCTTAACAGCAAAAAGTAATTTTGTTCAGTTTTGACTTCACTGGTTTTCTGAACTAGTTAAAAAGTAATGGTATCAGAGCATTTTAAACTGGAGATTTTAAACTGGAGAATTCAAGGTTGAGTTATTTACAGTAGTATTATGGAAACAATTTTAAAACCTAATAAATGAGAATGTGAAGTGACAAATCATTTATTTTGTCAGAGCTAACGTTTTCAAGCTTTGTGTTCACATAGTTGATAGTCTGAGAAGTGCCCGTACGATTTCACTGGCAGCATGCATGGTAAAATACACTACAGCTCATCCCATCCCATCCTTGCAGTTTCATCTTCTTAAGCCTAGGAGCAGAGAGCACATGTGCTCCTGTTTCTCTCAGATTAAGAAAGTTGAGAAAGAAAAATAAGGAATAAAGTCAAAATACAAAATAGCAGTATCATTTGTGTCCAGGATTTTCAGCAAGATCAAATCATGACATTCAGACTACCCACTGTAATTTTTGTCCTATTCACAGCACATGCTTTCTGTATTTAGTTAGGATTCTGTACACTAAAATAAAAAGCTCATATTCACAACATATATTTAGTAAGGAGCCATCCCTTTCTTGCTTATATGATTGTCAGCAGTCTTTCTGTAAGTTTTGCAGTACCACTTGAACAACATGAAGGGGTTTTTTGTTTTGTTTCAATTTTTTTACAGAAGTAGTATTCAAACACTGATGGATCGACAGATTTTGCTACACTACACAAACTCAGTTGCTTCCTTGGTAGTCCCTATTTGACTGATACCTTCCTTCAATGCATGGCAGATCGTGAGGTCAGTAAGCTGGTCCACACTGGAACGCCAAAATAAGAAGGAGAGAAGCTAACAGTCCACCAACTCAGGACATTATCCTACTGCATACCGCACTATCGAAAGGCACGGGGCTGAACTGAGAAGCATAACAAACCCTTGGCAGGCACACAATATCATTAAACACAGAAAGACTCTCCCCCATGTAATCGTCTCAAATGTATTTTTCTCTACTCTAGTCTTAACATATATTCACCTACAGCTGAAACAGCAGATCACTGTTTTATAGCAGAAATACAGCAACAGTTTCCTACACTAAAGTTCTGAGGTCCTGATTCACAAGATTTAGTTGCTTCAAGTCAGACTTGGGGAAGACTGTAGGTCTTTGAGTCCACCCAAAGGTTCCTCAGATGACCGAGAACGACTGCCAAGGGGCTTGGCCACTCATTTACAATCAAGCACCAGTCCCCCAGTTTTTAAACTTATTTTTAGCTTGGTTTTCCAAGGAAATGAGGCAGCAATGGGATGTCTATCAGTTTCCATCTGTTCTCTTTTTCTCCTTCAACACTTGCCCACACCAAAAGCTTTTGGGGTCACTAACCAACTTCAACAACATTGTACAAAGCAGTAGAGTCCTCAAAGATACTAAGTTCCTACAGCTTCCCTGCACATTATATAGCCTTTGAATTAAGGGTATTGGTAGGTCAAAACAGGTAGGAAAACAAAAAAGGGCCCAAGAACAAGATGATGCCATTTCGCCATACCTTTCCCTGTAGATAGGACAGTCAGCCCTCCGTTATTAGGAGAACAGGACACAGATATATTCAAATACAAGAAAAAACAGACACCGTCACTGCGATGACAATGCAATCCATCAGTGCGATGGAGTATCATAACGGAGCTATAACACTTGCAGACCTGATTTTAACTTCCAGAAACCGTACAGCTGCCATTAGAGCATATCGCATCACTGTTTGTAAGGCTTAGTGACCCAGGATAGAAGCTACGCAGATATGTCTGCTAGTTCATCCACAGATAATAGCAAATCAGAGAACTAACCCAAAGCGTCAGGGCCAATAAGGCCTATTAGTGCCCTTAGGGCCCCGACACTAACGCAGTTGTACTGAACCTCAAATAGTAGGTCGGGAGTCATTTTATAATTTATGTCAGGATCAGATCATATATAAGCAGAAAACAAGAAGAAACAGGTAGTCAATGATATTCACAGTCTTCGATGCACTACTTCTATTACATCAGTACCATAGGGTACTCGTACAGAACATCTGAGATCATTCTCTAATGATACTGCTAGGCAACATAGCAGCTGGGGATACAAAAATACAGCTGCAATAACAAAACTGTCATTTTGCACAAAAAGAGCGTTATTTTAACTAGTAAAACTTATCAAACCCCCAGCCTGCTATACAGATCAGCATGCTTAATGTGATTAAAGTGATTTGTTACAGAAGCCTGAGTCAGA